TGGTCCTCTTCAGGAAAACAAATAGCCAAAAGCACTTCTTTCACCAGTGTAAGTAAAGGACCTTACTTCGTTGGAGAAATTCTTGTGGCATGTGAGTATCTAACCAGTCCTTGTCACACTCTCAGAGAGTGTCAGCATGTGCCTGTTTCTGCACTGGTATGAGGAGGGAAAGCATTACCTTCCTTTCATTGGAGCACTGAACACATTTTGGAAGCACAGGGGCAGACACGTCCACATCAGCAGAAGGACCAGCGACCAGGTCCAGGACTAGGACCACCATCCCCAGTGTCATCTTATTATTGTCAGTGGGGATCTAGTCAATGGATTATGCATTCATCTAGCTCTAATGCAGATTACACAAGCAGGTAAGTGACTGCAGGCATCACCGCCTGTAATGGGAAGACAGCTGCCTGTACCACGGACTGTTAAAGTTAGGTGAGATGAAACCTACTGTGGCTTCTAGCAAACCTAGGCAGAGCCAATGCAGCCTGCTGTTGATCTGATGACCATTCTCACATCTGAATGTGTTTCCTGTGTGTCCAGGGCACTGCAACTGTAAAAATGCATTTGAAATTAACCTCTTATGCAATGAGTATAAGAGAAAAAAATGTACTGTGTTTCTGCTGGTGCCAAATCAAAGTTCCTGTCTGGAAGGCAAAATGTAAGCAATGTAGGGTTATTGCTTTTTCAGATATGCAGTAGCTAACAAGTAAGAGAAATATATGTATCAATTTTAATACAGCCTTTTCCTAAATTCCATTATCTGCTGACAAGTACAGTGTTATCATGCACAAAGGAAGGCTGATGTAAGTTTGATCCAGCCTTTAATATGAGCAGCAGTATGTTTCAAGGTTTGTCAGACACTGAGCCACAGCACACTATTGATTAAACACTCCATTGCAGACCAAAAGCTAGTGAGTCATCAATTTTTACTCAAAATGAGTTGTATAAAACCACACATCAACTTACTCTGCCATCTGGTCCCGTGTCCCTCCCCACCTCCCCAAAAAAAAAACCCCTGTGCCTGATCACTCTAACTACTAGTCTTCACTACTGGTGCTGAGGAGTACTGGATATGCTGTTCCAATGTGGTGCCCATGGCGGCAAACAACCATCTGTAGCTCATACTCCTCTATCTTCACTGTTTCACGTGTGACTTGTTCTTCAGCTAGCAGGAAAATGACGGTGTAAAGGGCAAATTCAAACTCTGGGCTGACACCAATAAAGGTGCTTCCAATTGGCTTGACCAAGCCCTTCCAGCTGAACTGGATGCTCAAAACCTGGTCATCATTGTCAGGCTGAAAGCATAAACAAAAGAACAGAATAATCTCCAACACAGCTGTGAGCAGACAGATACAATTTCCGACCAGATTTTTGAGGCCATTGCAAGATTCAGCCATCTTTGCTGTGCCAGGGTGCTATAGGTGGAGCACAGCCTTTTCCCTGTCCTCTGGAGTATACATGATCATTTATCTCAATTAAGCTTCAGCAGTGTTATGATCCTATAAACACCAGCACTACTTTTTGAAATAGTTTTTGCAAAAAAAGAAGCTGGATTTGAGGGCATGTTTCTTCTGCTTATATACACCTGGGCAAATTAGGTTCAAAGCAGTTGAGCCTATGATTGCATCGTTGTGCCTTGGTTCATTGCCACAGCTTTTATCTGTGGATCCATTTGTCTTATTTGCAAAGGCACACTGCTTGTTCTTACCCTGGTTTTGTTCTTCCGAGTAACATATCCCTTGTAGTCAATTTGGTTGCGCTTTTCCTGAAGGTAAAATTGCACCCAGTTGTGCAAACCTAAGATCTGTTTACCACGCCTTGTTTCTCCAACAAAAACATGTTCAAAACCGCAAGAATCGGGTCTGTAATAAAACAAAGAATAGGTCTTTCATGTGTTTAAATAGTTCAAATTGGCAGAGGGAAAAGGCAAGAAGATGCACAAGCTTGCTTAGGTTGATTTGTGAGCAGTTTTTTTATTTGTCTGGATTTGTTGGGTTTTCTTTCTTAATTTGCACAAAACTGGCCATGAAATCTAGCCACTAAGTCTAAGTTTGTATTTGATGATGAAGGCTGTCATTAAATGGCAGCCACAGATGCATCACTGCTGCTTACCCAGATTTTAGCAAGGCTTCTGACACTCTCCCATAACAGCCTCATAGACAAACTGATGAAGTACAGATTAGAAAAGTGGATGATGTGATAGACTGAAAAGTGGATGAACATCTGCAGTTGAAGGCCTGTGATTAGGGACACAAAGTGCAGCTGGAGGCAATTCACCAGTGGTGTACCCCAAGGGTCAATTCTGTTAGTATCTGATCAGTAAGTCTCTAAACACTATCTGTGGGGGAGCAATGAATACCTGATTTAGGCCATACTCTGAGGCTGTCTTCCAGTTCTGTGTGTAACAGATGGAACTCGGGCTTATATTTACCTGGGTCATAATAGTGTAGAGATTAGCAGGGGCCATATCCATCAAACATACCTGTCTCCTCCTTTCCTGGCATAGAGCTGGAACCAGATGTCATAGAGCTGATATTTGAAATCGGCAAGGTTTGGCTTTGCCAGTTTTTTTTTAAGCAGATATTCATGAGCTAGCTGAATGATAGAAAACCAAGATATATACACAGTTTACTTTTTAATTCAGTTTTTTCAGCAACTGAAAAAGAGCTCCGTTACTCACTTTCATGACTTCTGTCGCTAAGATAGCATCAAGAAAACAATTGTTTTCAACTATTTCTTCTGGAGTCACTACTTCTGCTATACCGGTCGATGTCTCATAGTTGTCCAATAAGGAAATAAAGGCTGCAGAAAAAGAGAAACTTTCAGCATGCTCATCCTGATGAATAGGCCATATGCCTAGTCATACATATAATCCAGTCATTAGAGACTGCCATCATAAAAAGATGCCATATAATATGCATTGACAGACTTTAGAAAAAGACATTCATTTATATATCAAATTTCATTCTCAGGTACGCTGGTGGGTGTAGGTCTAGAGGTAACTCAAGGCCAGACCACTGCTGTACTTCTTTTTAAGGTAAAGAGCTTGCTACTGAACTTCCTTATGGAACCAAATGCTGAAGCAATAATGACCTTCTACCAAAACAAATCATACCTGACCACCAAGATTACAGACATAGGCTTATGAACGTGAGCTATGCTGGCAGAAGGCTTTGCAGGCATTACTTCAGTAGAGGAATAATACAGCATAAACCTATGTGAGATGGCTTGAGCTTGAGCACATGGCTACTGAGTGGATGGATTCATGTTCTCCTTTGCAGCTCTTTTGTCACCTGCTCCCTCCCATCACTTCATCTACTCATGTTCTGACACTCAGTGGACTCGGGGCTGATTCAGCACATCAAGCTGATAGAAAAATACTTGAGGTCAAAAACTTAGGTCATTTCCTGCCAGGTTAGTGAGCTGAAGGGACTCAGCACAGGGTTCAGTGAGCACCAGAGCTGCCCTCACTAGACACAGGGTTGTGTGGCTCAGAGAGGAGTGGGGGGAACAGGGGAAAACTGGGGTCCCCATTATGCTGGCTGTTCAATCAGCTTAATGTACCTCTATCCGGGGAAAAGAAAAATCAGGGAAGGAAACATACATTCATAGACATGCTTGAAGGATAGCCCCCAACAGAAATGCAAGAAGTAGCTGTGGACCTAGTGCTATCTGAAAGAGCTAGAAGCTGTGAGTGAATGAGGAAAGATGACTTTGGTGTCTTTTTCAATATATGGAATAACATCAAAGCAATGACAAGAGTCTCATCCATTTCACTTTGTAGTTGAAGAACCACGGAGAAATTCAGGTTTTGGCTAAGGCATAAAAGGATGTTCTTCCTGAGGCTGAGGCTACAGGTAACCTGCATGCAAATGTTGTGGAAACTACCTTCAAATGACATGGGGCCTGATGATCCTCACCACCATCCAAATTATATATGATGTTATATTTTAGGCAAACACATGAAAACCAACATGGATTCTTCATGTCATTTCCACCGTTAACAAAAGAATGGGTCTCACTTGCAAAAGTTTTTATGCTCTTCAGGCGTTCTTCATTTACATTGTGAAACAGATGTCTGGCTGCGCTGTCCTGGACAGCACTGTCACATTGCTGTGTGGCACCTGCTTTTCCCTAGGAGAAACACCAGAGTAAAACAATGAAAGAAGTGAGATGTCCTTAGAGGAGACAGTGCCTGCCTATATAATAATCAAAACAAAACCCATAATGCTATCAGTATTCTTTGTTAGGAATGGTCTTCCTATGAAACAGAAGACATTACAGAAGAACTGCCAGCATTGAGAAAAAAGACAATCTCTGACACTGTAAGAACCTGAAATTTCTCTGTTGACTCATTTTCAGAGATGATTGTGATGACCCATGTGATAGCTCAGTTCTGATCAGTAACCAGCTGTGCTACTATGCAAATGATAAAGAGAACAAATACATCACAAATGATAAAGAGAAGTAATGTAGAGCCAAGGCTCCCTCCCACCACAAATAAAAAGGAGATTTGCACACCTTCCTTCTCTGTTCATTTGTAACCCACAGACCTACTGCATATAGTTTACGAGGCCATGCAGGGCAGCAGAGACTCGGGACTCTCCTGAGTCCCCACTCCCCAAGCTAGCTAGGCTAATTCTCCTCTCCTCCATGATAATGCTTAAGCAATCCAACTCCTGATTGGAAAGGCTCCCTCAGGCTCAGCCTTTGTTTTCTCTTTCGACTTCATGACCACAGCCCCAGCCATCACCCTGGTGCCAGGGAGATGCTGACGTAGTTCTGGGCAGCTCCACCAGCTTTGGACTGGTGCATCCTGGTGCTCTGAAGTTTTCAAAGACTTCTTGTTGGCCACATTTAAGGGCATTTTAATCAATGTTACCAATAAGCACATCCAAAACGGAAAGGAGGCTTTCCTGACAGCTTTCAAGTTTCTGTTCCAAAAAGGGCATTCTCAAGGAAAGCGTGGTCCAGCTGAGATGGAGTTAATTTTCCCCATAGCAGCCCTCATAGTGCTGTGCTTTGTATTGGTAGCTAGAAAGGTGTTGATAGCACACCAGTGTTTTGGCTACTGCTGAGCAGTGCTGACACAGCATCAAGGCTGTCTCTCCAACATTTCCCCCCTCCCCTTACCAATAGGCTGGGGGTGGGCAAGATCTTGGGAGGGGACATAGCCAGGACAGCTGACCCAAACTGACCAAAGGGATAGTCCATACCATATGACATCCACTCAGCAGTAAAAGGTAAGAGAAAGGAGGAGGAAGGGGGCGCATTTGTTATTTATGGTGTTTGTCTTCTGGAGCAACCACTACATGTACTGAAGTCCTCCTTCCCAGGAAGTGGCTGGACATCACCTGCTGATGGGAAGTAGACAGGAAAATCTTTGTTTTCCTTTTGCTTCTGCATGTGGCCTTTGCTTTTGTTTTTATTAAACTGCCTTTATCTTGACCCACAAGTTTTGTTTTCCATCTCATTTTCTCCCCTCCGCTGTCCTGCTGAGGAGGGGAGTGATAGAGCAGCTTGGTGGCACCTGGTGTCCAGACAAGGTCAACCCACCACAGATGAGTAGCAGTTTGTTAACATGGACAAGAGGGAACTAGAGCCTTGTTCTGAGAAATGGAGAAACCATATGGGAGAAGTTTTCCCTCACACACATTTTGGCCTGAGGTAGGTACCCCTTTTTCAAGTTTATCAGCAACAGAAAATTGTATCTTATAATATGAAGCAACGTTGAAATAAAGTGTTTGAGCACTTGTGTACTGACTATTCAATGGCCTGCTGCAATTTGTGGTCAAAACACAGTCATGTTTGCACTGCACTGAGATAGCAAGGAGCAAAACGGCTGCTCATCAAATCTGATACCCGCTCCTTCCTTGCAGTTGCCTGGGACTAGTAGCAACACCCCTGAAATCCTCCTCACCCACAGTTTTGTGCCACTCAACACTCTTCAGGAGAAACCCGGGAATTCCTCAGATTCCTCCCTTATTCCCCCAAGAATGACTTGGGACTTATCTCCCCTTATCCCTCGCTGCAAGTCACCCAGACTATACACACGAGCAGTCATACACATAGAGAAACATCCAGGGTGGAGGGGACCTCAGGACATCTCTAGTCCTGCTCAAAGTATGGTCAACACGGAATTCAGACCGTATTGATCAGGGTGTCATCTCGTTGGGTCTTGAAAACCTCCAGAGAGGGAGATTTCACAGCTTCTCTGGTCATCCTGTTCTGGTTGCATTTGTCCTTGTTGAATTTCATGGTCTTCTATTCCTCCAGCCTGCTTAGGTTGAGCTGAAGAGAAGGCCTGTGCTTGAGCATACCAACTTCATCACCACAGGTTGCTGTCATCTACAAAATCGGAAAGGTTGCACTCCATCTCCTCCTCTAGGCCACTGATAGAGAGATTAAATGTTACAGGGCCTGAGACAGATACCTGAGAAACTCCACTTGTAACCAACATCCAGGTAGCGTGGACCATTAATGTGTTCTCTGTATTGTTCCCTCTCCTAAGTTCCCTCTCCTCTCCTCTTCATCATTAGGAAGTCCTGCCTATGCCATTACTGGAAATGACGAAGCACAGGCAACTCTTTTAGCAAAAGGCAGTTTTGCAGACACCTTTTCCTACAGTACCATAGTGCCTTTAATCCTCATGTGACTTAGCAATTGCTTACCTGCAAATCAATTGTGTAGTCTTTCCCAGGCATAAGGCGGTTAACATCCATATCCCACATCTCACTGAAAAGTTTAGAAAGTTCATGATTTAAAGCCTTCCTGTCAAGAAATCCAGAGAAATGCACATGTTAAAAAAGGCACATGCTGTTATTTCTTCAAATCACTTCTATAGTCTTCTAATGTCATTCTGTGTTCTGGATACTAGCTTGTCATCAGGAGAGCTTTCTCTTCCCCCAACACCTTCCTGTCAGTGCTGCTCTAAAAACCATAAAGCTTACAGTTCACGTTCATATCTAAAGAATGCAGGTAACCTGTAAGGAAACTTGAGCTTTCCCTAAGGTTCTTTTAGAGTATATTTCAACAAAGTTCTCGTTAATAAGCCTTCCTGCAGTTTTCCATGCAGTGGAATAAAAATGAAGATGGTGTTGTTTCATTCAGGATTCTATGTACAAACCAGAGGCAAGTAGGAGACTGTCATCAGCGTGCAGCAACACCACACAACAAAACAGGAAGCAAAGAATTCTCTCTATGATGCTTTTCTAGCAGCAATCTTATATACAACTCTTCCTACCTTTTTTCCTGCAAGACTCCACACTAGGGATGCTTTCCTTTGCCCGTATGCGTGGTTATCCTAGCATAAAGTCAGTGTGATGAAGGATGACTAAGACCCTAAACACAGGGTCTGCATACATTAAAATTCTCTCATGCACTGATCTCTGATGCACATACAAACCTACCCAGGCTGGTCTTTTCCTCATTTTAATGGAATTTTGTCCTGCATAATAGTGTATCATTTTCAGAGTCTAATCATCCATCTATCAACAAGATATAGGAAGGGTTGTTACTGTGATGAACTGCCCAAAGGTAGCTCCAGTTTCAAGGGCATTATGTCCACACTAACACATAAGATCAGGACAACGAACAGAGTGGAGAAGAAAGAGAAGTGGATTAATCTTTAAATGACTGGCAGTTGAATTAATCAGTTACAAAGCAGCACATGCATCAAAGCCCAGAGAAGAACCGCTTGGTAATTTTGAATTTCTCCTCCAAGGCAGATGTTCTCAAGAAAAGGAAAAAAGTGCAGAAATTTGTCAAGAATGGGCATTTCTTTCAAATAGCCATTTGAGCAACTCGCCATGATCTTAACACCTGGTTCTCCCCGACTGAACCAAGGCACCTTCAAGCCCAACTCTGAACCACCTAATGGATTACTGTTATGTCGTCTTCTATTCTGGCCCTGATAGAGATACTCTCTGCATCCTCCAGACAGTGGTAAATTCCATGTTGTCTAGTAGAAAGAGCAAACAAATACTGTGGTAAGGTCACAAACAGTCTTCTGACATGGCAGCCTTCATGTGAGGCAGCTTGAGAGCCAGGAAGAGCAAAAAGTGAGCCAGGCAGGCACCTGCCCCATTGTTGGCAGGGAGGGAATAGAAGTCATAGCAGAAAAGAGGGCATTAATCAAATAGTGGGAGATTAGTCTAGAAGCAGTACAGCAAGATTTTATGTGCCTTCTCCTGTCCTGGACTTCATGGTTGGCTCAGAAACTGCTGGTCTAAGCTCCTTATTGAAGGAAACAGAAAGTAGCAAACTGTGCCTGGAGAACTGGGACTTTTTTCACATTATTGAGCAATTCTTTTTCTCCAGAATTGTTTGTGTAACTGTGGGATGGAGTTTATACAGCTTGAGATTAAAATCTTGAAAAGCATAACCAATCTGCGCTTAACTCCTTGAGAGCTTATTGCCCAAAGGAATTCATATCCCTGAGTTAAGAGCCAAAAGCAGCCAGTTTACATTAATGCACCAGAGGATAAGCTGCAGCAGCTGAGGAGCATAAAACATACACGATATTCATATTACACTCAGCATTATTTAGAGTGGGGAAAGCCAGCTCCTACAGAAGGGCAGGGCAGACAACCGTAACTACTTTGGCTGCCACACCTCAGTCTGCCTGCAGCTGGGAATCTGAGCCATCATGTACCCCAGCTACGCCAGAGGCACTGGCAGTCCATTTTCACTCAGGCTCTGTGATACTTTGAGATTGTGGGAAATCTACAAGATCACCTGAATTTTGAACTGGGCTTGAATAGGTGTCAATACCTGAAAGAAGGAAAGGGGCTAAGAGTTCTAGTATATGGGAGCCAAAGGAAGTTTTTGTTGCTAGGGTTAAACACAAATATGAAGGAAGATTTTTGCTTGGAACAGGTGCTTGCATGGATCTTACAGTGGAGCGGGAGGCTGTCACAGAGGAGCTAAATTCAGCCCTTGCCCAAACTCGAGGCTCTGCTTATACAGCAGAAGTGTGGCTTGTGGCATCACATTATCAATACTGGCTGTGCAGCCCAAACGAGGCACCTGCTCGACTTCACAGGGAGTTAGTCTCACGGCATGTCAGAGAAGCCACCAACAGCAGCATTTTTATTTATTTTCAGCCGTACCGCCACATTCTTTCCAGAGTCTTAAGAAGAGAAACTCCTTCTTAACAAAGTTTACAAACCAACACTAAACAGAAAATTGTTCATCTCACCAGCTCATCTGAAGTCCCAAGAACAGGATCAGCAAATTCACAGAATAGTACCGGAGACGTTTTTCAAACTTCAAGCACCGTCTACATTCATTTTACCTTGGACTGACCTGATTTTATTGGATCACTTTTCTCCTGGGTTCTGGACCCTCCTGCTCTCTACTCCTCTGCACCAGCTTATCCCATCTGTTTGAGTATCACCATATTATGTTTAATACAGTTTTTACTTTGGAAGTTACTACCAGTGGCGGATAGAAGTCTGCTGTCTGTTGAACATCCAAGGTATGTGAAATATTAGGGGGGATGTCAGGGTTGGGTTTTTTAAATATTTTGTTCCATATATATAGTATTTTATATACATATCTTTTAGTATGTGTGTATTTTAGTAAGTCACCTATACAGGAAATCTGTCATCCCTTCAATACCTACTGCTTGTTCTTGGTCCGCTCTTGGCAGATTAGTCCTGTGTTTATAAAGGGCTGTAGGGCTCTGTTTGATCTTTCCTCCTCTAGAAATGTTATGGAATACCACATGAGCACATGGAGGCAAGCTCAAGGTGTGCACTCAGGAGAGGGTTACAGCAAAAGCATACCTACAGATTTCAATCCTCATATTTATTTAATAAATATACTTCTGCTAAATGTATTCCTGCATTCAGAAAATGTGTCCCAAAACTCTAAAGTCACTTAATTTTATAAAATAAAAGCCTCTTCTCTCCTTTTTCTCTGCTGGGTGCTACCACAATATCATCATGGACTTTTCCTCTCCTTTTTGTTATCCCTTTAGTTTTCAAACAGAGCAGAGCACCTGCACAGACTGTAACTGAAGATTAGAATAAAGAAAAATACTTCCTTGCCAAGGCAAAGAACTTGTTTAGCAACTTACACAGTCATCTTGTAAAAATTCTTTCTGGACAGTATTTCTTTAAAAAGGGTCCATAAACTTAGCTTACACATATGAGGTGAGACAACTTCAAAGAGAAGCAGCCCAACACCTTCATGCAAATCCATGACACACAGCATTTAGGTAAGGTTTTCCTGAAAAAGAGTATTGTGTATTTACTCTCTCGTTTTCAATACAATTGCATGTATGACTCAAACCAGAGTGTTTTATAGTTAATTCTCAATCCCCTCCCTACAGTGAAATCTCTCAGTTGTTGGATTTGTGCTTTCACATAGAATAAATTATTTCTGTGCAAGAAGTCTGGCCAATTGGATTTTGTCCAGTTGGAGTCTTGCTTGGATGTGCTTACATGCTCAAAGCACCACTGCAATAACAAGAACACTTAGTCTGCACTTGTAAGAGCTGAGAAAACTTTTGGGGGAGGCTCTTCGCAACAGTAACTCTAATGCACCAGCAGTGCAGCTAGAGCAAAAGAATCTAACATCTCCATTTTATTATAGCTTTCAAGTGAAACATTGACATGGCGTGCCTGTTTTACCAAATTATTTTCTTGCATGAAATCTTCATTCCATCCAAAACAATGCCCCAAGAAGAAGTCTTTTATTGCTGTAAATCAGAAATGACTCAAGACATGAAGAGAATTAAAGGGCCAGTGGCAAATGATGTGAGCAAGTCAACAGTGTCAAAGCAAGAAAAACATGTATTGCAAATGGGTCACAGGGAGCCCTGCAAAGGTTTGATTGAACATCTTCTCTAAAGTGAATTTACCTTCAGAGATCCTTTGAACAACATCCAGTTTTTAAAAAGCCTTTAATCTTGGCATAGAGAAGAAAAGCATTTGGAAAGCTTGATGAGCAGCCATTTAGAAGGAGTTTCCAATCATTTAAAAGAATTGGTTCATATGTTGTGAAGTACATGTATCAGCTTATATCGTTAATAGAAGATACAAGCTATTATCTCAATTTTTCTCTTGTGCCAGTGTGTATGTCTTTTACTTGAATCCAGTGATATTTTTCTTAGTTTAAAGCTGGTATTTGAAATACCAAAGGATAAATAAGACAGGTTTTGTAGGTGGAAAGGAAAATGCACTGTCAAGGGACAAACATAAGAGTGGGCAGTTACTCAGCAAACACTCTGTCAAGGTGCTGGGGCAGGCAGGTGATATTTGGAGAACCTATTCTATGTTATCAGCTATGCTTAAGCAAACACTGATCTTAGCATCACCTTACTTTAGCTAAAACAGCTTATTGTTCTGTTGTCTCACCAACTTTTTACGCTGAGGTGAGTTAGTAAAACAGAATAGAAACAGGAAGCAGGGCTATTGCAGTGCTCCATTTCACGTAACTCTTTTACACATCTCCCAGATGAATATTTCCCATCCCCACTGCCCTTTGTGTTAGAGAAGAATTAGTATGATTTTTTCTTACCTGCTAGCCATGCCAAGAAGAAGTTTTTCTTTTAGCAAATACACTGAGCAGGGAAAATGCAACCTGAAGCTCAGAAATCCTTCTGATAGTCCAAGGCATGGAGCTGTCTCCCTCTTATACTCTGCTTGCCCGCTGAGGACTGTCACTCAGCTTGACAGGCAGCGCAGGAAGGCAAGGGAGAGGCAGGAGGTGCCAAATGCCATAAGAAGACGTGGAGTCTAAGGACAGTACCACGTCTTACGCCT